ATTACACCCCCCTCCACCATCCCCCGATTAAACTTTTATACGGCAATTACAGGGATTAACAAACTTATTATTTTTAGTGGAAGGTTCAGACACCATTTGAGCATGTACTGGTCGACAAAATCGTAACGACGAGCGACGAGAGTTTGTCTATGTGAAGTAAAACATTGTGGAGATTGCAGAATAAGGAGTTACAAATGGATCTTTTCATAGACGGTAGTCGGTTAGAGTAATATAAGTGAGCCTACAACATCCTTAAGGGGGCTTCACTGTAAAAACAACAGTACCTCGGAGAAAGAGAACCACTGTCGACCCTTGTCACCACTGGTGAAGAGGAGGTTGGACAGGGGACTATATTGTAGTTGTAAACACGGTCATATATTCAGATAATTAAGGTCTCGAGGGACGTCTCACTGTTAAATAACNTCCTCACTGGTTAGAGAAAAAGCTTCTTATATTCGTTAGCATAGCTAGCTAACCAGATGCTAATAACAACAAAGTTATTGACTGTATGATCAGTATGACAGATGAACAGATCGCCCACTGGGCTTTCAACTAAAGACACAGCCACGCAAAAACTGCGGCATGTGTACAGCTCTTTATGGGTACTGCAATTTCTCAAGTGCCGGAGCGGCGTTCTGGCTTTCTGGTGCTCTCTGTCAAAACTGCACCCCTGTCAGACACGTTAGGCTCGTGTTGTGTTCAAGGACCCTGACCTTGGCCAGGAAAAACAGGCACTCGCCTGTTTAATTTTTTTGCGGTCTAGATTCCTTTAATTTTTTTCTTTTTTGCGTGTGTTTATAAATTACCTCGAGGGCCGTACCAAATGGTCTCGCGGGCCGTATACGGCCCGGAGGCCGGAGGTTCCCCACCCCTGCTTTATGTGGTATGTATGTAAATCATACAATTAGTTCCGTGTTTCTGCCTTAAAAAAATATGAATTTGATCAAACAAAAAAATAACTAGTTTTAAAATGTCTCTGCATGACATGAAAGACTGAAACAAGCATGCCAAAGAAAGCTACAAGAATGTATGAAGTGTGTTTTTTAACTTAAGTGCAGCAATAATTAAAGCAAATGAAGCGCACTAATCACGCAACACTGTCGATAAGTTGCATGCTCTTGCGCTGATCTCTAATTATCAGGGATCAATGGCAGCTCACAGTGACACGGAGACAAGAGATGAGGGCGTTTTAGAGAGACATACTGTAGGTGAGTAAAGTGTGGAAGAAACCGCACTACCTTAGCAGCTGGTGTGTACGAGGGTGGAGAGAGGAGACGTGACTGTGGGCTCTCTGCTGCCAATTACATCCTCCCACCTGCTCCCCCACCCTGCCACGAGCTGCTTTGGGCTGCATGCCTTGCACAGCGCCGGGCTCCGAGCACCACCTCTAACATGCTGCCCCTCGAGCTACCTGATTATAACGCTGCTGCTAATCAATATTCACAGGCTACGGGCATGGGAACCCCTCTTGAGCTGGGAGAGGCTGTGCACAACTCTGCTGTGGTTTAGTGCAGTACTATTCACAGAGTATCTTTAAGCCACTGTTTAAGATGAAGAAATAACACTAGTTGAGCTACTATAAAGACTTGTAATACCCTCTTTTATTTTACTTTTTTTATTGAGCTAACCTGTGGGGAACTGCCCAAAAGATGTAAAAGCATGCATGCAGTTGGTGTATAGTATCTCTTAGTTTTTTTATTAGAGCTGCATATGGTGGAGCGTATCATTGATTATTAAATTGCATAAAAGAGACATTTTTATTGAACTTACATAAAAGAGACTTTATTTGTTTTATTTATAATGTATTTAAATGTAAAGTATTTATGTGTCGGTTTTAAACGTATCTGACCAAGTGTGTCTGTTGAAATATTGAAGTGAGGAAGTTACCACCAACGTGCTGTTACACGAGAATTTAATGAATCATACAAAACAACTTTGGCAAAGAGGAAAACAGTGATGAGGAATTTGCTCTGTGATATTATAAGGTCATACCTCGATGTTCTTACTCGCGACATTCTTCACAACAGCAGGGAACAGCTCCGATGCATTTTTCCCTTTGGAAATTAGCTGAAAAAGAAATCAGACAATACAGAGTTGTATCCACCTTTCTTATCACAGATAGTAAACTGAACATATTTCAAAAGAATACATGTGAATCCCTAAGACTCACCCCAACAACCCTTTTCATGGCCTCCAGTTTGAGCGACTCCTTGTTGCTCTCCAACATCTCTTTAAGGTCTTCATTCCTTAGGAAAGAAAATAGTGTTATTTACACGTTTTATGGTCAAATTAGAAAAAGCCTCGTAAACACTGCTAGACGACTTGACTAATCAGCTTGAAGGGTCAGAGCTTGATCAAAGGTGCTGTGAAAGACACATATGTACAACATCTGTGTCAGCTCCGAAGATTACAGGGTTAACATGTGAGCCGTCACATTCGCTCCCATAGGCCAAACAATTATGTACATTATTTGCTCTTCAGGAGACTAACAGTAAATGAATAATCTAGCAATACACACAGATAACATTTCATCTTTGATTGCCACACAATAAACCTACCCCCACATGTTAAAAGCACCTAAAGAAAATCGAATCTACTTTAGCCAAAGACATTGCATAGTTGTCCACAACGCTAGCCACTAGCTGCTATTAGCTTTGCCAACTAGCTCATCTCATTTCTGCTAAAAGTCTCTTCAATCCGATCTGACGATGCTCATTATAGGCTAATGCTAACACACATTGTTACTGTGCAACACGGGTTGTTTGTTACACACAGAGGCCAAACACTTAGAGATAATGTCTAGTTACTGTGGCACTGACAGTCATTCACAAAAATAGTTATTCAGCTAAAACAAGAACAAGAGTTAACATTAAATGTAGCTATTGTTTTTATACAAATAGGTGAAAGAAAATAAATAAAGGATAGGTTTGTATTTCTTAGAATAAGATACTTAGAACTCAATAAAACTCTGGATAATAAAGTTAACTAACATGAACTTCAGAGAGAGCGCAGAAAACTGATTTGTTCTGGACATTTGACTGTATGCCTATTTTCAGTCAAAAATGAATGAATTAAGTCACATCTTTCCTAAAATACTCTGAAACTGAATAGAAGCATACATCCCACCTTCCATTTTCCTTTGTCTCTGAAACGGACATAACAAAGTCCATTTAGTAAGAATGCAACAACATACAACATCCTTTAATTGAAGCTAAAAACACAGATGTCTCTGTCACAGGGCTGTGGTTGTACAGTACCCGGCTTTGTGTGTCTCCTTGATGCTAATCTTGCTGTGTGTGAGTGCCTGCTCTTCCTGACTGGGCTCAGGCTTCAGAGTGAGCTGTAGGTTCTCAGCCGACACCAGCGCCATCCTCATGGCTCCCACTGCCTCCGAGCGCAGAGAAGAGAAACCAACATCCATGCCGGCTTTCCTCCACGGCAGTCACTGGAGTCCACTCAACAACCAGCCCTCGCTGTGTGTGTGTGTGTGCTGTCTAAAAGAATAGAGTCCACACAAGTTGCACAACTGACTGTATTTCAAGTAACTGAAGAGTGAAACGGATCTGTGGTAATTACTTTCCTTCAGGCTGTGTGCCCTGGCTTTATTTACAGTTGTCTTCTTGACTCGTTCTTGTTCATAACTGTCAAAGCTGGGGAGAGTGGAGAGACGGCTCAGGCTCCACTGGCTTTGTGCCTGTCATTCACTTCTCCCTTCCTCTTCTCATGGGCAAAAAAAGTCACAAGATGCCCCGTCAGCTCCGCTAATGGCAAGTCATGCTTGAGGGTAGTGCCTGCTAACTTGGGAAAGATCTCTTTCCTTCTGCTGTAGTCCACGTTTCTTCTGAAGTTACCTGCTGGTAAGCTGGGGTCCACTCTCACCTGCTCTCTGCCTGTGCGTGTCTCTCTCTCTGTGGGACTGTGGTCACTTCCCTTCAGGGGAAAAGGAGGGCCTTATCTACACTGGTGGGTAAACAGAGCTACTTTTCATCACCTCCACTGCACAATAGTCAACTTTAGCCCGACACCGCTGAGTGCACATACAATACGCTGCCAACAGGACAGGCCTTCATGAAAGATAACAGCACCGAGCTGAATGTCAGGAAATACCCTTTAAGATTTGAAAGGTTCAGAAGGTACTTTACTCTCTCTGGGAGAAACTGACGGACCAACAACCCCAGTCACTTTTACAAGCTAATAGAATGATCACTTTTTCACTTCTTACTTTTGTAAAAAGATTTTTGCTTCCCGAATAATTGTTCACATTCATTTATGACGTTACCATTGATCTCGACCATGAATTGAATTGGCCAAATAAATAATAAAACAACTAATAACTTTAAGGGAACTTTATCAGGCTATATTTAACTAACAATGACTTAAAACGGGGCAGAGAAAATGTATGTTCTGAACCTTTGCATGTGTTCCTCTATTCATGTAGAAAGAAAATATGAACTTAATAAATGTTTTTACTATATTAAGCCTAAACTAAAATAGAAACAATTAACCCCCCCCCCCCACTACCCCTACCAATTTCCTTTTCACAGTGACAATCTGTAACAGACAAAACAATCTCAACACAGGGTCCATTTAGTAGCTGTAGCAAATGTGGTTAGTATAGTAAGTATCTTTCTTGACAATGGTCACAGTAGTTGACAAAACAAACAGACTCTTTGCAACTTTTGATTAAATCAACACTAGCAGATATAGCATCTGAAAAAAGACAAAAGGTCCTCACGGTAGAAGAGCTTTACAATTAAATAAGGCGTATAGATGGTAGAAAACCAAAATAAAACTCAAAAATAAAAAAACTGTATGCTTACATTATGTGGAAAAAAGCATATGTTACACTGAAAAATATCGATATTGTCGTGTTTCTTGGTAGAAATATGTATTGTTAAGAGGAAAATTAGTGCTAGATGTGCCCTGATCAGCACATTATTAACAGCTAATAACTTTTCTGAAAATAAAGGGAAAGATCCAAAATCTTAATTTTAAACGTAGGTCAAAAATGTATAATTTAAACATTTATACAACCAAACCACTTGCCCGCAGCGAAATCTCTCTTTAGTCAGAGATAATAAATAAGTCACATGTATTTGTGCCGGGCTAAAACCTTTCATAGAGCCTTTAGTCAATGAGAAGAGGACTATAACACTACAGGAATGCTGCTGTTGCCCCCCCACCCCCCACATGTGACAAACATTCAGGAATTTCAAATAACTTGATTTAACATTAGCAGAACGACTCATGGGGCTAACTTGAATTGACAAATATGCAACATACAGGCTGAGTAAGACAAAGCCTGCGTACTACACTTATGTGGACACAGCTTAGGATGCACAGGCTTAGGTCAGACAGACACACACATGCTTAGGTCAGACAGACACACACAGGCTTAGGTCAGACAGACACACAGACAAAAGCATCATTCATGCATCTTCTGCTCTTCCCAGTTCGGCCTATAATATGCAGGCGAACTTATGACCTAGCCTTGCCTAAGTGAGTAGATCTATGGTCATGTGAGACAGCTTAGAGGTTCACTTAAGCACACTAAGCAACATGTGGCAAGAGAATGTCATTCAAAAAGACATTAATGATGGGTCAAATCCTGAATGCTGAAGAGAATACGCAAACAACTGTTCTGATGGCTTAAGGTTAGTTACAGCATTTCTTGTTGGGATCAACAAATTAAAGCTCATACTGACAGCTAAAAACAAGAGGACTGGGCAGCGTAATTCTACAACTGTCAGGCTGTTGCCGTGTGAAGCTTCTCATTCACCCATAGAGGATTAAATCAGAGGGTCTAAGCTGCAGGAAAAACGTCTTAACAATCAAATAGAAACCTTTACATATACAGTCTATGATAGAAACCAAGGTTCCATTGATGTTTGGCTGCCCTCTAGTGGTAGGTTTCTGAGATACAACTCAAAACAAGCTGACAATCCATTTTCACTTTTATACAAGAGGAAGGTTACTTATATGTAGAAAGTTACTGTGAGTCTGAGACGTGAAGTTAAAACCGAAACTAGGAAACTTCTTTCCCAAAGTCTTTCTAAAGAGTGTAATACTGTCACCTGGAAATAAAACAGACATCCATGGGCACCTGCATAGCTATCAGAAACTGATTTGGTGTATTATGTCCAAAAAGGTCAAATAAATTCTAGTAGCAAACAGTCTGAATATGTACATTTAGGTACAGACCATTTACCAGTTTCCTGAAAGTATCCCAAACCGTTCAAGTTAATAAAGCACAAAGTGTGACTTGGCAAAGCTATCAAACAGGTGGTTTACAGAATCACAACTCAAACAGGCAACACTATTCAAGTTCAACTGCAATGCCTTTTTTCTCCTCTAAACAGAAAGCAGACTTAAGTGTTTTAGTATCCTTTCCATATGTTATCTACATGTTGGCACATGCTATGCTTATACAGTGCAGAATGGTTTTAGTTATAGGATGTTTTAAAAATATTGATGGGTACAAATTCAATTTGATTGTCAATATGTGGATTGTGTGTCCATTTATTAACACTGTACACTAGTGTAAGTCATTCCGAGAAGCCTTAATTATATTTTGAAGAAAATCTGTACACATTTGATGAAACACTGTGTAATGATGAAAGACTGGTTAAATGTGTTTTCTGAAGCTTATCATGAAGACTAGTCGTTGTTGTTTAAATGAGGTTATACCTTTTACAATATATATTTTTTCCAAGTCCACTCATTACTGCAAATTGTACCATTTTTTTTGTGTGTGTATACCAGGGTACTCCACACATTAATTTACATGTCATACTTTGAGAACATATTGCTGATAATACATACATTCAGCTCTTGCACTTCAATGAAATGTATGGGTTTTAAAGATGTTTTTACCAGTTTTACAAGATAACCCGAGTTGTTTACTTGGTGGTATTTCACAGTGTGGTATTAGTAATTCTACTTAAGTCAATAACCTGAAAACTTTCCTCCACAAGTGGTCAAAGTAAGCAAAGCAGTAGGGACGAAAACCCCCGAAAGCCATATAAAAATGATGTATTTGTCACATGTAACAGTGCCATGGCATAAAGTCGGTCGCCATCACTGCCTAGCTTGTTGATGATGCTGGGGGCTACTTTTCAAGACAGCTACACAGGGAGTTAGCATCACAAAATTCACTACAACCGTCTAACTTTACCACAAAATGACACTATTGACAGCACAAAGAACACATGTTAAGCTATCTTACTTTTTAAAGTCAGAGCTGAAGAGTCCAAAGGCAGCTCCGCCGGTACTGGAGGAGTTCTCCTGCCCCGCTTCCACCGCAGCCTCCGCTCCTCCTTGGTCATTGTACAAGGCGATCGTCGACATGCTCAGCGTTGAAACAAGACTTGCCTCGATAACTAAATGCGAATTCGGCTTTTAAAACTGCACATTAACGTACGAAAGTGTAAGTGTTACGTAGCACAAAAAGTTCCTGCAGAGGAAAACTTCTCCGAGATTCCCCTCAACTTTTTTTTACACGCAGTAGCGGAAGTGTGAGCTGGACAAGTTGGTGTCACATGACAGGGCTGCAAAGACCACATAGATCTAGAATATCTAGAAACAACAGTTAACTGTTACCGGTTTAATTCCCAGAGCGGCTGTCACTGCTATCTCATTTAGAATGTATAGATCTATGTGAAATAACGCCCCCGTTGACAAGGCAACAACGGCACCATAGTTCTTATCAGATGTGAATATTTTGCGTACTTGTCTTACGTACTTAACGTAAAGTAACCTGCTGCCCATGCCTCTTTTTTAGAAAAGTTAAGTAAAAGTAGAAACACTTAAGTGTAAAAATAAAGTTACTAGGTAAATGTACTTACTTCCTGTACATTGGTAGAATTGCACATTTGTAATACTTCTTCTTTGCCTCCAAAGGGGACATTTTGTAATTGTATTGTCAAGAGGCGTCAAGTAAATTGAGCTCTACTCCTGATTATAAAGCATGAGGCCACAAGTGCAGAAAAGGATTGATTATGTGTGTATAAGAAATCAGATTACAAAGGATTAAGCATTGGTCGTTTGGAATTAGTATGATTGGTTTTATTATGTAAGGATTAATAAATGTGATGTGTTTACTGAATCGAAATAGTTGTGGAAAAGTACAAGAATGGGATGTTCAGTATTGTACAGATATTCATAACCTCGTTGACCTTCTATATATACTCACACTCTGAAATGGGCACAATGATTACTTTTACTTTTTGTGGGCAATTTGAATTGTTTTTTATTCAAATATTGCTGTACTTATGCCTCAGTTACATTTTTTATGTAGTGTGTTAACTTGTAACATATTACTTATATTGTTTGGTTACTTCGAACTTATCAAGAAACGAATTCCCACTATATACAAATAGTATGCCTATTTTTCTTTTATAGAACTTAATTGGACAAAGGCTTGAACAAACAACATTTCTTTCAGAGTCTTCAAAGAAAAAAATAGGCAAGTTAGTGCATACAGAAGTCAATAATAAACATTACAAAAATGGAGGGCTAGGGCTTTTTACATAAATCATATTTTTCTAATTGCGTTCAACAGTTTAATTGCATTTTAATTTGAGGGGTTTAAAACAATTAACAAACTCATACACACAAATAAAACATGTGACCTGACGCTTCTTCACTTCCGTATACGTCAGTATTGTATCACATGTGATCCGCTGCTGGTGACCAATCCCATCCAGCCTGATAGTATCTCTGGACTGAGTCAACACTTCACCTCCGACCATCTGTCATCTCTTGCGTCTACCTCAAAACGAGTTGGTATTTTGGAAGCAGTTTGCTCGGATTTATACACTGTATATATAATTATTAAGTCTTAAAAAGACTGAAACCATCCTGGTTGGATAATGTCAGGAGGATTCGACAGCAACCCGTTCGCGGACCCGGAGATCAGCAACCCATTCCAGGTAACGTTAGCTAGCTACGTTAGCGCCATTAGCATTAGCTTGTGCACTATTTCACATTAATAACAACGTTACACAGCCTGGCAAATCAGACACGGGTTGCTCAGTGCTATGCAGCTGTGATAAAGCTACTTGTGTTTAAAACAAGTAATAGCAGTGATTAGCAAAACGTTTTTAATTCACTTGTCAAGCTTAAATTACACTCTGTCACTTAGTATAGCTCACTTCGGTGTGACATAACACGTTAATGAACCAGGCAATGTTTTGTTAGCAAGCTTGATGTCTAGTGATAGCCTTATTTGTGTCTAGTGATAGCCTTATTTGTGACTTATTTGGTGTATTATTCTTTGTGATATATACAACTATCCACCGTCTTTACACCTTCCCTTCCATAGTACTTTACATTTAAAAGCACTATCTGTTAAACACTTATATGCTGTTCAAAGGTTCCTGTAACCATGCATATTTGATTTGATGGGCATCTAGGTTGATTTTCCATCGCGTTAGATACCCTTAATGGATTTTCTATACCAAACGACATGTGCTAATAATAACTCAAAGCGAGGGGAAGGATTTGATGGGATGCTTTTGCATAGAAACCATTTAAAAGGCTACTATAACAGGGTTTTGGTGATTTGACAGTCAAATATAGAGATATAAATTAGGTCAGTAACTATATTTTTTCAATGCAAGGTTTCCATTATGCTTTCAACTTTATTTAGACGTCCAACGAATGGACAGCCTTGTGTGAACAGTGTCTTGTAATGTGAAAGCATCATGTGCTCTTTAGCCCTTCAGTGCCTCCCTCCATCAGCAGGCGTGTAAAGGTGTTCTCATCATTGGCATTGGCAGTACAGTTACTATTCGGCATTTCATTAGAGATGAAAAGGTTATGTGATTAATTGATAAACCAAGCAAATATTCGGATAAATGACACATTTTGAGCAGAAATACCAATACTCCCCTGCTTCCAGCTACTTAAGCATAAATAGTTGTTGTTTCTTATTCTTTCGTGTCTTTCTTTCATTTTTTTTAATGGATTAACAAGCATTAATTAAAATGTAACATGTCCAAGATAATAGAGCAGGGTTTAAGCACTGTTGGTCGGACAAATCGGGACATCAAATGACTGCTCCCTGTGTTTTAGTATAATGTGATTGGTATTTTCCACTAATGCACAGGTTATTTTGAAGACTAGCAGTAAAAAAAAAAAACTACAATTATTTGCAGATCTATTGTTTTAGATTAACATGTCAACAAAAATAAAACCAGAACAAATTTGAATGAAGAAATAAAAATTGGCTAAAACATTATGGATATTCCTACACATACTATGAGTCCTACATGGCTACAGTAAATGATTGTTCTCATTCTAAAAAGTCATTTTCAAATCTTGCTCTTTCAGTGTATGAAAGTAAAAGGTGCTGATGGCACAGTTTGACCGCACAGACGCATGAAAAGTGAATTATTCATGGAGCTTCATTAACATACTGACATGACTAGTGAACCCCTGCTGCTCTGCCAATTTCCTGTCATTTATTGGCTGTCTTTTTTTGTGCCTGAGGAAAAATGAAGCTTTGTTCCCTGCTCTTGAGCTATCTTCAATACTTCATGAAATCATATGGTGCTGTCATGGCGACATGTGGTGCAAGGATCCCCGCTGGCAGCTACATTTCATCACTCCCAGTTATGCATAGATTGTTCATTTGGATTTGGCCTATTCATCTGAATGTAGGCTTATTAAAAGCATTAAGCTCTCATGTCATAGAAGGAAGCTTAGATTTCACATTGTGCCAGGCTAAACAGCTTAATAAAATGTCGTACAGAGCATGGACTCCAACTGGTTTTCATCCTGTTGACCCAGCAGTGTGTTACGTACAAGATACCATACAGCAGGCATCGTGTTCGATAATGTGTCATCAGCTCGTGGGACTTTTGCAGCGAATGCATCACAAAATCTGTTTTATTTCCAACTACATTAGGATCATGAAAGGTAACATTTGGTTCATTATTAGGTGTCAGGAAATACATCTTTCTTAAATTATACAGTAAGATCTGCATCAGGTGAATTATCTTATTTTCCCCCTTTCCCAACTTTAGATTTCAAAATGAACACTGTGAATATGCATGTGTTTCCTTGGCTGTGCAATAGGGCGACATTAAACTTTAAACGCAACATACCCTCAAATATTTATGACCCCGGTCTGGTGACAAGTTGCAGCGTGTGCGTGCTGCGTGCGTGCGTGTGCGTGCGTGTGTGTGCGTGTGTGTGTCTGAGGCAGCAGAAAAGATGCTCCCAGAAACGTAAGAGTCAGGGAGACAGGGAGAGCACCGCGCTGAGACTGCATAGGGAAGTACTGCAGGAATACGCAGATTGGATGGTAATCTTCAGCAGCTATTTGAATGAAAGCAGAGTGTGACTGACAGCAGCTGATGGTAAGCTTATAATAAGAAACGTGTGATAAACTGATGCCTGCAGGAACAGACTTTAACATGCAAATGGAGGCAGAATATTCTAAACTATGTACATGTATTTAAAGTGTGTGGTTACTGGCCATTGGTAGTTGAATACACCCTATAAGCAAACATTGTCTCACTCCAGTGTCACCCTTTAAAAGGCTTCTGCTTAATGTTTAAGCTTGATCCTCCATTTCACTTTGTGTTTGCATAGTACATAGTAAAACTGTTACTCACCAAATGTTGTGAACAAGGTTGTTTGAATTTGCTTGTCTTGCAAATCCAGAATGTGCCTAAAATGATCGGGAAGTGTTTTTGTGCAGAGCGCAGCATAGTCAAAAAAATAGTCTTTTTTTATGTATGTCTTTTGGAGCTGGAACACCCAGGACTATTTATAGAAGTCTTCTCGGGAAAATTATTGGAATCATCCTGCCAGTATTGAATTATAGGCCCGTTGCATTTTGAATAAAGAGGGTTGTTTGGCCTTTGACAGAATAATGGAGGGGATTTATACTCACATGAGCTCAGACATTTCCACTCTTCTCCTTGATAAAGCACAAGGATAGACTTGAAAAAATGACTATTTTCATACCAAAACTATTCATAACATTTGAGTTATTTACCCCCTCATTTTTATGTTTTCTTCTACGATTTATGTTTATATCTTTTGTATTTTTAAAGGATCCATCAGTGACACAAGTACGACAGGCTGCTCCTCCGGGGCTGGAGGAGTACAATCCCTTCACAGATGGCAAACCAGTGAGTACCTAAAAAAGATCCAGGATAATATAATGGTCGCTGATGCCAAACAATTTTGTTAAATGGGAAATAACACAAGTATTCTAAGTAACTTCCAGCAGTGGACAATTATCAAAGAGTAAGAATCACGCACAATTGTCGGAGAGCTTTATAACTGTATTTTATTACATTACATGTTACATGTTAGATGCTTTTATCCAAAGAGACTTACATACTCAATACTGTGGACAATCCCCACAGGAGCAACTTGGGGTGAAGTGTCTCAGGGACAAAACGACATGCTGACTGCAGTGGGGTTTGAACCTGTGCTCCCCTGATCCCAACACCAACGCACTATTCCACTGCGCCACACGCCTCCCTAAATGAAA